CCCCCCGCTCCCCTTGCCATTTTAGAGAAGGCAGGTGGAAGAACCGTCTTCGCCACCCCAGTCCCTGATTCTTTTGTTGCAACGGAGGCCGTCCTCCCCAAGCCCCCTCATGTTCTTACTACGCTGAGGGTGGAGGAGGGGGGAGGAAGTAGGTGCACAGAAGGGGAAGGTCGGTAGGAGAGGTTACTGCGGGAGGGTACATCCCCACGGCGACTGGTTTGGGGAGAAAGCGAGGGTCCTGACGGCTGATCTAAGAGCAATCGAATACGCATTTGGGGGCTTCCCTGAAGTGGCGAGCCATTCCCCAACTCTGCTCCTCCGTCAGCGCTGACTTGACTTGCAGGTCTTCTTTGAACAGTTGAGCAGGTTGCTCACTGCACAAGAACATCTGGCTGAAGGGTGAGAAGGGGCTGGGGTTGCATCCATGCCGAAAGGAAGATCCTTTTTACCTAATTGTTCTCGAAGTTGCCTATGTGCTGGCGGTGGCCCTGTCCCCTTGGCCATGAGCTTTAGGTTCTAGCCAGTCAACAGTCCGTATCTAAGCACCCGGCCCTTTCCGCATGTTGTTGGTCTCTGGCACCTCAAGACTCAGCCTCTCTCTCCATCTGCCTCCGTGCCTCTGACTCCGGGGCGCTCTAGTCTCTGTCCTTACCTCCCTTTCTGCTCTGCACTGCTCTGGGTCCCTCCTTGCTCTGTTTCCAGCCTCAGTCTCCTTGGCTCTCTCTCCTTCTTATCCTTCATCTCAAATGGCTCTCCCACCCTCTGCCCCTCGGTTCCCTGCCTCTTGGCTCCCCTTCCTGCCCCCTCTCTGTCTTGCTCCCCATAAACATCGCTGCCCTGGGGGGGTTGGAGGAGGCATTTGGAGCCAGACACGCAGTGCAGGCGGCCGGCTTGGTGGCGTGCCTGTGCCCGGTGGCAGGCTGAGACCTGCAGCCTGGATTAGAGAGCAGGGCTCTGTTTGCTGGGCCTTCAGAAGATGTGAGACTCACGTCCCGTTCTTAAGACTCCGGCTTAGAGATGAGCCTTCGCTTTCTTCTTTGCCTGCATTAGGCAATAAATCAAAGCCTCAGAGAAACCACAGGCCTCCCGCCCCTTTCTACAAACGGCGCCCTTGGCACAGTGAGGAGGGCGGTCGGTCGAGTGAGGCTGTGGGTGGGAGCCGAGGACAACTACCCTGTCCACTCCCCACTCTGCCACTGACCTTCTCTGCCTCAGTCTCGAAGGTCTCCTGACCCCTGAAGGCTTCGCATCAGCCGTGGCCTTCAGAGCTTGTTTGCTTTGTGCATGTTTGGGTGGTCTTGGGGGTTCGTCCTTTCACTCGAGTGCTTAAATGGCAGTTCCACCTGCAGGCTGGCCCCAGAGCACTCTCTCTACAGTTCATTTTTCTGTGACAGAGACAGTACCACCAGCGGGGTCCTCACGCCCGATGCTCTCCCAGAGCATAGCCAGCATGTCCAGGGAGGTCTCTGGGTGGTAACCCAGACCTTCCTGGGATCAGCCTCGCAGGGAGTCGCATTACGGGGTGCCACCCTCTGGCCCCCCGAGTCTTCCTGATGCCTGCCATCGGCTCCCCTTGCCGCGGCTCCCTTCCCTTCTCCCGCGAGGAGAATACCGCAGTAGCGCCCACCATCGGCTTCGCAGCCTATTCTTGTTCCAGGGGCTGCCACCTTAGCCACTCCCCTGCCTTCTCTGGGTCTCGGACCCTTACCTGACCTGCATCTTCCTTTCTCGAAGGCCTGGGTGACCCTGCAGGACATGTTGCCTCCTCTCTTCCCTCCCGGGCAAAGGATGGCATGGAGGGGATTTCCTCTGCTCCTTTCCCGCGTAACTGTGGCAGAACTCATCCTCATGGCTTTCCCCCAGCCCTGCCACCTGACCTGGGTGTACTCATGGGGTCCTCTTCTGCCGCGGGGTCTCAGAACCTTCAACCCCTCAGGCTGTGGCTAGGCCAGGATCCAGAGACTCAACCCCTGCAGGAGGTTCCCAGCCTCATGCTCACATCTGCCCTGTGGAGCCCTGGAGGCCCAGCCTAGACTCCTCTGGCCCGCCCCAAGGGAAGCCATGGCTCCTGTTGCCCTAGGCATGGGGGATGCCTGAACCTCAGAAGGTCCCTGCCTATGTGTGCTGTGGGTGGGGCTCCTGCAGCTTGCCCCAGATCAAGAGTGTTTAGAAATGTGTCCATTAGCCCCTCAGGCCTTCACCTGACAAAGTTCCTACCCCACTTCCCACACGGGCCTCTCTTCCCAGAGATGCCCTCCAGAGAGCTGGGCAAGGCCTGGGCCTCAGTGGTTTTTCTGTCTGCAGACCAGCCAGGTCTGTGTCAGGTTTGCCTGGCTTCATCTAGAAAGAACCCTGCCGGCCTCAGTTGCCTCTCAGCACACCCTGATCTGGAGACAGAGCTGCAGTTCCAGGGCTTGCCTCTCCTGCCTGCCCTGGAGATTTTTTCAGATGCCCTACTCCTGGATTGAGCCCAGAATCCCGGGAGTCTGTGGCTGAGAATTCCTAGGCCATGCCACCTTCACAGAGGGGGCCTCCAGGAAGGCGGCTAGCTGCTCCCGAGCTGGGGCCCTGCCCTTGGAAGCCCTGGCTGGAGGCCATGGAGCAATGGGAGGGAGCTATTTCCTAAGGGAACCTCCCGAGCAGCCTCCAGTAAGGCCCCTCTACGGTGTACGGAGCTGCCTTGGGCTGACGGCAGTGTTCACTCCACCTGGCTGGACGGCGGCCAGGCCTGGCTCAGTGTCTCGGCTCCCTCAGTGCTGACGAGCTGGGTTGACTGACCCAAGCAGGGACGTGTGAGTCGTCTGGGAGTCTGGGCTCTGTCTGAGCCTCGCCCGCCTGGCCCTTGGGAGATGCTGCCTGGGCTGCTGCCTTCAGCCTTCGAGGGTACTGGATGGCAGGACGTGGGTCTCCTGTGCAGCAGGAAGACTTGCGGCCAGACTCAGGGCCTCACCAGGGCCCGGAACAGGTGGCCAGCAGATGCTCAGACTTCCTCTCTCTGAGACTGAGTCTGCTCACCTTTAAAATGGGGAAAGTGCGATGTATTTCCCAACATTCTTAGTTGCAGAAACTTAAAAGCACTTTGGGCCAGCTGGTGACATGGTAGTTAAGTGGCTGGATCCCATGTGGCCAACTGTGCGGTTCAAGTCCCGGCCCTCATTGCTTCAAAATACTCGGTGCACGTGTGTGTGCCCAAAATCCTGAGGGGAGGATGAAGGAGAAGTGACTGCAGTGTGGCCATCCCCCTCCCTCCGGGGTGTGTGTGATTTCTCACTTCCCTCTCTCACTAACACCCTCTCTGTCTCTCTTGAGTGACTGCCTGTGCCCTGAAAGGAATATAAACACACACACACACACACACACACACACACGCACACACCCCAAAATACTTTATATGGAAGTCCCAATACATAAAACAGACAAAGGAAGCCTTCTCTGCTAAAAGTGGGTGAGGGGGTGGAGCCCCAGGCTCTGTCTCACCCATCCCAGTAACCCTGAGGCACCTGCACAGACCTAAGGGAGGGCCTTTAGAAGCCACTGAGGGGTCCCCTCTCTGGTACCTTCCAGCTATGATGACACTCATGATTTCTGTCCCCAAATGCTTCTCTAGCCAAAGAGATAGTCGCAGCGTGTGCTTCGTGTCTGTGGGAAGGGAGGGGCGCTGAGGATCAGGCTTCTCCAGACTAATGGCTGCATGGCAGGACCACCTGGTGGTTCCACTGCTGTCTAATATTCCTCCCCCAGAGACTTTCTCGGAGAGTCAATGGGGCTGCCGTGTAGGCTGGACACTGGGAGTTTAATATCTCCCCAGGGAGAACCACTGGATTAAAGAGACTGCCCTGACAGGCAGATTCAGGGTGACCATGAACCACAGGAAATGTGGTCACCGCAGCACTGGCCTGGGAGACAGGCCTTGGGTCCCAGTGCTGGTTCTACCATTAATCTGCTTCATAACTCAGGGCAAATCATCTCTCCTCTCTGAGGAGAACAAGGGGAAATGTGCCTTTCTAAAATGACTTCCAGCTTTTATAATAAAGGTTTATTTTTTAAAGAATTGTTTATTTTATTTATTATTCTTTAATTTGACTGGAGAGAGTGAGAGGAAGCTGCCAGGTCCAGGATTCACACCACATTCGGACTCGTGAGAGTCCAGCACCTTAACCACCACACCACCTGCTAGCCCCCCCTCTCAATCCCCCAGTAATAAAGGGCTTTTAATAAAGGAGTGATGGCTAGGAATGAGAGGGGGAATAGCCAGGGAAAGCGCCAAGGCCAAACCCACTGCCATGCTGACCTCCAGCCTGGTGGGTTTTGATTACGTGGAGGAAAGGCCTTTCTGATGGCCAGGCTGTCTGGCATGGGGTGAGCTGTCTGGGGAGACAGACAACTGACAACCTCCCTGACGCCCCAGGAAGGTGCCGTAGCATCTGTCAGGGAATAAGAAGGAGGTACAGTCCAGACCTTAAGGATCTTTCTAGGTCTGTCTGCCTGGGATTCGGGGGTCTCAGGAGGGGACATGGTGGAGATACATTGAGGTGCTCCTTGAGAGGAGGGCTGCAGGGAGGCGTGACTCCTGCTTTCCCCATCACAATCTCTCCCTATCCTTGCTCCAAGCACCCCAAGACCTCTGCAAGAGGATCAAGGCAGCCCCTCGGGTGGGCAGTGAAGAAGTGCCCACCCTACAGTTGGCTGGCAGGATAGCCATTCCCAGTAGGGCAAGGGCAGGGGATGCCCTGGGGCGCCAAATGCGCCAGGGAGTGAGGCTTTCTGTATGTTCTGGCAGCCTCTTCCTTTGAAAGATGAGCAAATCAAGGCCCAGAGGAGGGAGGTAACTTAGTCGAGTCCCCGGGAAGTGGAAAAACCGAGGCCAGGTATTACTATCGGCCAGCGCGTGGCTGGGTTTCCCATGTTGAGACCCTGCTGTGAGTGCTTCACCCAGGTTATTTTATCCAAGCCATACAACCAGTGCACGGGGCCGGTCCACAGATGAAGAAAATAAGTCTGCAGAGTGCAAGGAGCTTGCACGCGGGCACACAGCTGGAAAGATGCAGAGCTTAGGGTGCAGATGCAAGGTCCTCTGGCTTCAGAGCCTGCATGTGTGACTCCTCTATGCTTTAAGGAAGCCCTTGAGGCCCAGGCTTCCACTTCTGAAGCAAAACTCAGAAACGGGAAAGGTCCCTCTGGCACGGTGTGAAGTCTGGATCGGATGGCCAGCCGGGGCCAAGAGACCTTCAGGAACACAAAGTGTATGTGGACCAGGCCAAGCTATCCAGCTACTCAGAGCCCTAAGCTCTGCCCCTTCCTGCACCCTGGCCACCTCCACGCTGTACCCTCCTCCACCCCTGGGTATCTGGGAGGCCCTCAACCCCAGGGGTCCCCAGAATCTGTCTTTGTTCTTCTCTGGCCCTTACTGTATCCTGCCATTGTGAAAGCTATTACGTGGTATGGCAGTTAAATCTCCAGACTCGGTGGGTTCAAAACCTAGCTCTGTCACTTATCAGTGTATGGTTTTAAATTAGAGTAACAGTTCCTCTCTGTTGAATTGTATTAAGTGTTGGATTTGAGTGATGCATACAAAGTTCGAAGCTCAGGCCCTGGCACAGTAGCGTTTACTAAAACTTCCAGGTCAGGAAACGAACTGCTTTTCCTGAAGCATGGTGTTACCCGAGAGACCCCAGGAAAGATGCTTACCCTCTCTGAGCCTTGCTTCCCTCTCTGTAAGATGGGTTGCCGTATGCCGTACAGGGAGACTTGAATTCCTCCCTGAACGGTGAGCGGGCACACACCGGTGCTCACCGAACCTCTGCCCTCCCGGTCCCTGAGGAGCTGGCTAGCTGGAGAGGAGATCTGTAAACAGACGGGACTCCTGGGACAAGGCGCCTTCCAGACAGCCAGGGGCAGGGGCGGGGGGGTTCGCTCTGCCTGGGCAGCAGTGTGGCCTGGAGAGGTGCTGCACCCCTCCTGCTCCCCAGGGCGGAGGTGTGCCCGCTGGCACCCATCCTGCACAGACGGTTCCCCAGTGCCCCAAGAGGCCCCAGGACTAGTGCCGTGGGGTCGCCCTGAGGTCCTCGAGCTGGGCGGGCAGTTCCTGGAGGGCTGCCCATCTGGCGGCCAGTTCCTTCTGTGGGGTTCCATGAGCTCATGCCGATGCACTGAGCTGGGGGCCTCAAGCTGCTCCATAGATGAGGACTCCAGCGTCAGGGCAGCCTTACTCTCATCTACACCCTCCCTTTTCCTAAAGAGACCTCTGACTTCTCAGCTAAATAGACAGGGGAGCTGAGGCCTGGGGAGAGAAACCTGCTTTTCCTCACGCCCTTCCTCAGACTCCAACAGGATCTCAGTGCTCTGACTCTGGGCCCTCGCGGCTTCCCCAGTGCCTTTCCTCCCTCCTCACCCCTGCCCATCCTAGAAGCCTGCTGGACCCTCTGTCCTCAAACTGGGCCTCCTACACTACCACAGCGGTCCCCAGTTCCCACTGACATGGGAGTGGCAGACCAAGACTCTCTCTGGGACTCCCAGGCTGGGGCAGGAGGGTGGGTCTGGCTTGCGGTGGGGCTTCCGGGTGGAGCCTTCATCTTTCATGGGGTCCTCAATGCCCTTTCTCTTCCCCCATGTAGGATGCTGCAGAACAACCAGCTGGGAGGGATCCCCGCCGAGGCCCTGTGGGAGCTGCCGAGCCTGCAGTCTCTGTGAGTCATCGAGGCCCGTCTGGGGAGTCACCAGCTTCCAGGGCCAGTCCCAGGCCCAGGCCCAGGCCCCTGCCTCGCTTTCCCTTCTCTCTGCAGCACCCCACCCCCACTCCGTGCTCCAGACATCCCGCCACTCTCGGCTTTGTTGTCACCAGTGTGTGTACTCGCACACTCACGTGTGTGTTTTGGGAAGGAAGATGCCAAGCCCCCATGGGAGGACTGTGGGAATAGGACCTCCCTAGGTGGGCCCACCAGGGCTGTAGTCCTGGGGCAACTGGCATTCTGCCATTGGAGCCCAGGGTGGGGGTGGAGACTGCCACCCCAGAGAAGCATCAGGAAGGGGCTGTCTCCTCCACCCAGCCTGCTCTTGCCCCAGGGCTTTGTGGGAGGGATGGGGAAGCTAGGCTCAGACTCCTGTTCCCCTACATGGAGGTGGGTCCATGCTCTGGGACTCATGGCCCCTCGTGACCACGCTGTCCCTCCAGGGAGCCCTGTAGTTCCTCCCTTGCCCAGCAGGGGTGTCAGGAGGCAAGGCCAAGCCTGAGGGTAGCGTGGAGCAACCCTCGTGTTCATACTGCACACAGCACCAGGCCTGGCGCCTCCTGGGTACCTCCTACATACTCGTTGCGCCCAGATGAGTTTTCAGGTACATCCATATATGATGGAAGAGGGAATAGAGAGCTTTGGGAGAAATCAACGTTGGGAGATAGGCCTGGGGCATGGTGCTTAGCCAGTGCGGGGAAACTGAGGCATAGCTGATATGCCGTGTTTCAGGACAATGGCTTCTGGTGTCCTTGGCCTGTGGGCCCTGCCCCATCCATGGACTGGAAGTCAGACAACCCTAAGCTGTCCTGACCCTCCTTGGGTGCAAGGAGGAGGTGGGGAAGGTGGCTGTCCTGCACGACTGACGTCCAGGCCCATTCCAGTAGCAGTGCTGGGCTGTGGTGTGGGTCTGGCTGAGTGTGTCATACCCAACGGAGGCCAGGGCTTTCCTCCCCTGCTCCTGCCCTGGGCATTCCTTAAGCTCCTACTTCAGTCCCCCAGTGACCCCAGCTGTCCCACTGGCCCCAGTGGCAGGACCTGCCCCCTGTTTCTCACCTCTCCTTCTCCACCCCGACCCTTGCTGGGCTTCCGGCTCCAGCCCCTCCTCTCCTTCTGATAGACAGGCAGCCCTGTGTGTCCCAGAGGCCAAGGTCAGAAGATCAAAGGCCAGGAAAGCCCGAGCCTGCTCCCCACCCAGCAGGACAGACTAAACATTTGCTTGGGGCAAAGCCGGGCAGCCCGAACTCCAAGGGTGGGGCAGATTCTGACATTTCATCCAAAGCATCAAAGAGGACTTCATGGGGAAAACTCCAACTTTCGACTTTCGCTGACTTCTTCACAGGTGGAGGCCAAATTTTGTTTTGCTTATTTGTTTTTTAAATTGTAAATCACATCTTCTGAGTGCTTAGGATGTCTAAAGGTCTTGCTTTCAGACTAGGCATGGTGCTTCAGGACGACATAGGCATTTTCTTGGCACTTTCCGGGAAGCAGGTTTGGGTGGCTCCCTTGCCCATAGATCGTGGCTTCTGCCCCAGACCCGTTACTCCCTGTTGCCCGGGGAAGACCAGCACAGGAATGGGGGCCTGCCCCCTTCCCAGCTATAAGGCAGCTGAGCGGCCCCTGCTCCTGGCTACCTTGTAGAGGAGCACTGGCCTGCCAGCGCTGGCCTGTCACTTGCCCTCTCTGTGCCTCGGTTTCTCCATCTTCAAGGTGGGATAATTATCTTCCCTGTCTACCTCACAGGAGTTGTGAAGGTCTTCAAAACATCAATAGAAAATCCGTATTTTTTTTTAAAAAAAGCTTTGCTTGAGTTTGGAATTTTTTGGCATCAAAATAAAGTGGTGATTCAATTTCATTTTCCCACGAATGTTTCAAAGTCCCACGTACCGTAGGTGTGAGGGGTGCTGGGAAAAGAAGCCTCTGCGCTGCAGTGCGCGGAGATGCTGTCGTGGTATTGTTCTTCGTCTAGCCAGCCTTCAACCTGTTCATTTTATAGATATTCTCGAAGCTTCGCTGAGGAGGGGGCAGAACCTGAATTGGGTCTTGCATTTGTAAGTGTCACTCAGGCGATAAGGCAGGGAAGGACATTCCAGGTGGAGGGACCAGCACATGAAAGGCGTAAAGATAAGAAACTGAGTGAATCTAGAGAATTTACAAAGAACTCAGTTTGTGTGTGTCGATGGGACTGGTGGGGAGAGCAGTGTTTGAGGAAGATCTGGAATTAGCAAGCAATAATACCTGACCAGTAGGCATGGACCTAAGGACTCAGACTTTATGGGGCCAGCAGGTGGCACAGTGGTTGGGGCACTAGACTCCCACGTGGTTGACCGTGGTTCAAGTCTTGGACCCAGTGGCTTGAAATGCCCCAGATCCTGAGAGGAGAGTGAAGGAGAAGGGATTGCAGCATGGCCATGCTCCTGGGTGGGTGGGCAGGAGATCTCTCACTTTCTGTCTCTCTCTGTCTCTTCAGTGAGTACACACATACTATAGCGAAAATCTCTCCATTAAAAAAAAAGAAAAAAGACCTTGAACTATATGCTAAAGACGGTGCCAGCCACAGAATGAGTATGTGGCAGGGTTTTTATCTTTGAAGCATCACTTTGGTAGCAGCGATGGAGGGCAGCCTGGGGGTGGGGAGCCAGAGAAGAGACTCTTAAACCAAGGAGCATGACAGTAGGTAAAGGAAAGATAGGGCAGACCTTGAGAATATAAAGAAATCAAGAAGCCATGTCATCAGGACTGTGGAGTCAGACTGCCTGGGTTCAAATCTTGGCTCTTCACTACTTCCTGTAAGAACTGGGCAGATTACTGAGCCTCTGTGTTTCCATTTCTCGATTAGAATAATGGAGGCAAGGACAGTGTCTACGTGCCTCAGTGGGACGGAATGACATGAGTCACTATGAGTGAAGGACTTACAACAGCACCTGTCCTTCCACCACTGCAGTGATTGTGATGATAACGGCCAGTAGTGGTGACCAGTGTTGACTGGATGTGGGAGCTGAGGGAAGGAGGAGTCGAGGTGACATCTAGTTCTCTTGCTTTGACATCAGGGTGGACAGTCACCAAAGGTACGTGGTAAGAGCTTATTAAGACAGTGGGCCAGCCCTGTAGTACAGTGGTTAAGCAACATGCAAGTGGAGCCAGATCCCACATGGCCACCTGTTATTCAAATCCCGACCCCAGGTCGGAAAATGATCCTTGGGCCCATGTGTTTGCATGCCCCAAATCCTAATGAGGTGAGCAATGGAGGAAAAAGTCTAGTGGGGTGACAATGTCCTAGTGTGGGGGTGCTTTCTTTCTCTCTGGAGAATTCATGTACCTTCTGGCAATAATAATAATAGTAATAATAATAATAAGAGAAGAACAGGTTGAACAAGAAGTAATGAATGGGGAACCCCAGAGGGCGCATGCATGGGGAAGGATGCAGGAGGGGGATATGCTGAAGTCCCTTTGGGACATGTTACATTTGAGATTCCTGTAGGTAGGGTGGCCAGCATCCAGGACAAGTTGGAGAAAACAGGAAGGTTGATCACAGCCTGCAGGACATCAGTGTGTGTGTGTGTGCGTGCCCATGCATGTGTGTTAGGTATGCTGGAAGAAAGAAGTGGGGTCCATAACCCAACTAGAAGGTTCTGTATGGTAGCCATTACGTTCTGAAGTTTTGTTTCGTTTTGTTTAAAAATTTGCCAGAGGGCATGTGTGCTCACCAGAAAGAGAAAGAGAGAGAGAGACAGGGGCACAGTTATGCTACAATTCCTTCTCCTCCATGTCTCCCCGCTTTTGGGATTTTGGAAAAGCATGCACACACTCCCAGCATATTTTTCAAGTCACAGGGTCTAGGACTCGACCTATGTAGTTGGCCATGTGGAATCCAGTCACCTTAGCCACCAAGCCACGAGCTGGCCCTCTACTGAGCTTTTGGAAGTTGTGGGATTCAAGAGAGGATAACGAAGGAGAAGGGATTGCAGCGTGGCCATCCCCCCAGGGAGTTATTTCTCGCTGTTTCTCTGTCTCTGTCTGTCTGTCCAGCAGGTACATGCGTCCTACACTAAAACTCTCTCTCTCTCTCTCTCTCTCTCTCTCTCTCTCACACACACACACACACACACACACAAGTCGGGGGATTCAAGGAGAGATCAGCTTACACTCCAAGTGAGGTGCTGCCCGGCCTGATTCGGTGCCCTTCGTCTTAGGCAGTGACAAGACAGCAGGCCCTGGCTGCTCAGCCGAGAAGAGAGGCTGGGGTCCCTCACTCCTCCGAGAGCCCTGGGTACAGCGCTAGACGGGCAGCTCCTGCCCACGCGCTGCTTTCACCCTCACACAGGCCCCCTTCTGTCCCTGTTGTCAGAGGAGGAAGCAGAGGCTCAGATGAGTTCAGAGGCTCTTCCAAGGCCAGAGCTGGCCAGTGGGAGCAGGGCGACCCCCAGCTGGTGGGCTCCAAACACAGCAGAGAAAACACCTTTTCTCTCTCTCTTTTTTTTTTCCATTCATGGTAGGGAGTACACGCATGTGCATTAGAGAGTGTGAGCGACAGGCACCCTCAGCAGGGTCTCATCACCCCACAAATTCCTCTTCGCCTGCTCTCCACAGTTTTTCAGGATCTTGGGCATGTGCGCACGTGCCTGGCATGTTTTCAGGCTGAACCAGGGACCTGAACCCCCAGCCAACCATCTGACTTCTAACACTGCAGTCCAGTGCACTGCCAACTGCACCACCAGGCTGGGCCAGACCACCCAATAGATGCCTATCAATTGGGACCTTCTCTGCTTCCACCAAAATACCAGCGAATAGAAATGTCCTTCTTACTGTTTGAAGCCAGTGGATCAGGGTGGTACATAAGGGACTCATCCCCTAGGGTCCCATGCCCCACTGGGGAGTGGTAGGTCCTCTCTGGAGCAGACTGGGTCCACTAGGGGCTCAGGTCCCTGGAGAAGGCTGTTCTCCTCTGAAAGGAAGGG